GCCAATGAGTAGGCTAAAGGCAAGATATTTGCGAAGAGAATGAATGTGCATATTGAGCATGATAAGCTCTTTGAGAGCTGAGATAACCTCCTGCAACATGTCAAGGAAAATGATCCGGAAAAGAAGGAATCAAAAGGGAAAAGTATCTACATTCAACTGAAACACCAGCCTGCTTGTGCGGAGAAGCACACTTAGTGAGAACCAAGGACAACAAGCCTGAGCTGCTAGAACCTGTTGCCTATGAATCCGTGGCATAAACTGTGGATGTAACTCTGCCGCTCAGCACCTAATTACTGGCTAAGTGTTCTGGGCCCTGCTTAACAATTTTAAGGAAATATCCCAAACCATAACCACGGTTTTCTGAACAGGTGTATGTGCCCTTTCCTCAGAGAAACGAACACTGGGAGTAGATTCTCATGCTCTTACTTAGTTATGTCAGTCTTTCCCCTTCAGTGTTTTTTCCTGCTGAAGGATGTCAGATATTGTGCGGGTGTACACACGAACGTCTGTACACATAAAATATTTATATTGATTTAAAACTCCTACAAATAACCATGAGAAAAGATGTATCAATAAAGGAAGCTGGTGTATGGCATTTTAGTTAAATAAATAAATAAATGATTTAAAACAAAAAAGTAAAAACAGTGAACAAATCAACTATAGCACATGCTCACAAAGCAGGACTATGCAGCTTTAAATAAATTTTTAATTTCCATGAATTGATGTGTTGAGTTTGAATGGATATATTGTTAAGTGAATAAATTGAAAAGGAAACAAGGTACATTTAGCTTGAGGACAGTTGGTCTTTAGTAGGGTTTTTCTACCTTCTACTCTCCCTCTTGATATTAAAATATTTGATATTAAAATATTTGATATTAAAATATTCTTCCTTCTCTCTCCTTCTAACTCATAAACTATGTATCTGTGATTACAAAAGGCAGATGTGTGATAGAATAACCAATATTATACCATTCTCTACCCAATTCTCTGAAATCAAACTATTTAAATTAATTAGGTTGATTAGTGCGTTTTACATATACATCATGATCACATCACAGGAATTGGTGCCTGCTCACAATATATCTTGATTATTTTTCCCCATTACCCTCCCCTCCCTTCAACTCTTTTCCCCCCGCCTTGTCTACCAAAACTTTGTTTCCATTTTTCCTTCTCTTCTTTGTTTTCTCTTCCTTCCTTTGCCTCTTCCCTTTCTCTATTCCCCATCTCGTTTGAGCATTTTGTTCCTATTTTACATTTTGGTCTTTATTTACACTTTCAGTTTCTCTCATCAGAGAAACTATGCAGTATTTACACATGTGCGTCTGTTTTACTTCATTAAGTTATGATTTCAAGGTGCATCCATTTACCTAGGGTTATCCCATGCGTATCTCCCTTTATGACTATTACTCAATTAAATAAAAGAAGCATATCTTCTTTATCCATTCATTGGTTGATGGATATTTGGGCTGTTTCCAAGATTTAACTATTCCAAACTGTCCCACTGTAAACATGAGTATGCATATATCACTGTTGCATGATGTTTTTTATTCCTTAGAGATTTTGCGGGTGTGTCTCCATAGAAAACACTTCTGGAACATAGAATGCAAAATCCCTTAGAAATGATGTTCCTGGATCTGATTTACCCTGAGAATTCTTTGTTTATGTTAGATCTTTTCCCATAAGACAAAGAAGGCATACGTCCTCCACACTGTAAGAATTAGTCCTCATATGGCACTCTACGTCCCACTTAGCAAGGTTTACAGTGCCTCAGAGAAATTAATTGGAGCATATTGTAGAAAAGATGGTGAACATATAAACTTTCCTTATAGTATCCAATAAATCAGTCAAAATAAATTTATGAGCAACAATTAAGTCAGTCATATATTTTAGTGTACAAAGAAATGGTTAGTAAGAAAAATGGGGACACGACTACTCTCTGTTCCCCAGGATGGTGATTCAGGTACTGAAGTTCAAAAAATTTGCCCGTGTCTCTGTATAAAATTTGTTAAACAAAGCTGTTAAACTATGAAATATTATTGTTCTTATTACCTTTTCTATTTTATATGTAGGTGATGCTGAGTGATTACCAAAAAGCTATGATAGTACTTTAAGGCTCAAATATTTTATAATTTTTATGTGACATAATATACAATGAAATTAAATACAGTTGCTTTGATTGCCCCGGATTGATATGATCTCATACTGTGATTTGTGTTGCTTTCCCTTATAGTGCATGCTATATAAGTAGATGATATGGGTGATTGTTCAAGTAGAAAAAATCAGCAGTTGACATGAGGGACTTCTGGCTTAAACATTATTTAATTGTTTTTTATTGCAATGGTTTTGCAATCATTTCAGTAAGGCAGAACATTTTATTGTTTATTGTTTCACAATCATCTGAGGGTGCTAAAGACTCCAGACCTTTCAGTGCTATTCTTTCCAATACTTTATGGTTTTTGCAGCAATGACCAAGTAGGAGATCTCTGAAGATTGTTTCCCATCAAATCATGTTTATGCCACTAGTCTTTGACTTATGCTGCTTTCTTTGCCTTGAATGTCTTTTCTTAAGCCTTTGACTCCTCTCAGGACCCTCCTCAAGACAAAATATCAGCTGTCTCATTCTATAACTGCCTGTGGGTAACACTGGAGAGAACATTCATTTTCTTATAACGTGGTACCTTTTTCAAGAACTACATCCAGAATCATGGAACAAATTCTGTGCCAGAATCGTGGAAAATATTAAGTTCATGAACTGAGTTACTACTGTTATTTGGGCTTTTTATGTATTTATTTTGAATGTGTTCATTTTACAAAATAATTTGAGAGATTAGAAATCTCTCAAATGTAGATCACATGCCCTTACATGGTGCAAATTTAAAGTGGATTTAAATATCTCTTTTGATGATCAAAGAAAAACTCAGAACATTTTCGCATTTGTATCTCTAATTATTTTCAGAATAAACACCTGTAAGTGGCTTCAAGTTAGAACTTGCATGAAAGCGTTTACAGGAACTTTTATAAAACTACATCACTTTCAAATCATGACTTCTGAAAATAGCTTCTTTTAATATGAATCCATCCTCTGAGCCCTAGCATGTAATTTTAGACTTAATTTCACTTATGCCATATGATATATGTAAGGAACTGAGAATAATAATGTATACTGATATATGTATGTATGCATATATATGTAGATGTAGGATTACTGTTAGTATCTTGATTGCCTGATATTTAAATATTATTATTTTGACAAGTCTAATTTTTCTCAATTGCAGGGCTTCCACTCCTGTGAGTATAAAATATATTGCATGTTCTTTCACATTTGTTCACTAAATCTTGCTGATTTAAAATATATTTTAATTTAAACTTAAGGTTATTAGCAAAAGGTATGTATTAGCAATTGAAGAATATTTTATTTTAATAGGTTTCCCTTACAGCTTCCCTGATTATTTGTTTATAAAATTAGTTTCCATAACTTTAATTATTCAACTTTTCCTCAGACTCAGTTAACTAACCATAATTTGTTTGAACTTCCATATCCCCTTTTTCTCTCCTTTCATTTTACATTTCCTTTCCAGAAGATATCTTCATTCCATTTCCCTTTTATTGTGCATTTCTCTCAAGCATCCACAATTTTTCAAAAGCATAACTAAAAGAAAACTATTTCAAAGGAAGTAATAACTTCAATAAGTATATTCAAAGATTAGAGGCTGAAAATCCTCACATGAGAAGCACAAAAATCATTCCCTCTTTTTTACTTGGAAATATTGCAAAATCAATATCTTTAGCAAGGAAAGTAAACTTACCTGTCAGGTATGGTAAACTTTGATTTATTGCATAAAAACGTACAGGTAAAAATATTCTGGCAGTTGACCTGTGCAAGACCTATTTCTTTGATTCTGTATACTAAATACCTCATGAATTATAGATAATTGTGTATGTGTTACTTTCATTTTACCTAACATTGTCTATCATTAATCAGGAAGTTATATAACATCTCAAACCTGTGTATTGTGCAAGATATAAGTGCGTTTCCAAAGTTTATGAGTCTTTTAAGTATTCACATACATAATCAATATCCATTTCACTTATAGGATTATAATCTATAAGAATATAAGAACTAAATCCTAAATATTTTAAGAAACTCTAGCTATACATACTATTTCTATTACTGTCATAATAATCCATACAACACAAACTAGTATTGCCTAATTCTATCTGAAACATCATCACTCTTCTAATTGTGATTCACAAGCACTATAGTCATCGCTGTTATTTTTGTATGGGTGTTTTAAGCATTCAGATATAGTAAGAGACAGAGAAACTACACTAAAGCATCAGTATTTACCCTTGGAGCTTTAACTGATGACCCATGTTTGAAAGTTCTGTGGTTTTATCTTTCATTTCTAGTTATTCACTAAGCACTATTTCAGCCTGATTATAATTACAATCACACTAGGAGATACTCACTATATGATCTTCATGTGCTTTTTTTCTTTTAGAATTTTCCCTGTTTGGAAATTCTATAGTATTACACATATATACCTAAATTTCTAGTTACTACAGTTACTGAGAATGAATCCATTTCCTATAACTACCATGTAACTCAGGTAACAAATTATGTCAGGTACTAAGTAAATGGAGAAATTGGAAAATGTCAAATTTTAGAACAGCTTATTAAGATATAGTATTCGAAAGAGCCATAGATCACTACTAATCAAGTTGGGGAGTTGCATTTCAAATGAATAATAAGCTTCCTGTAAATTAGTAAATGGACTTTTCTCAACTTTGGACAAGCAAAGAATTCCTAGCATCATTTCCAACATGCCTGATGGGGTTGAAGATAAATTCATTATGATGAACTTGGAATTGACTTGAGAAAACATTTGTACATTCTTAACTGTCTTAATATTTAATGTCAATGCATGTAAAGTTATAAACACTTTTACTACTTATGATTTTTTTTTAATCTTCTATAGATTTGACAGGACAAAGAAGAAATGAAGAACCAATCTGGGGAAATAGAGTTCATTTTGCTAGGACTGACAGGGGACCCTGCCCTACAAACTGTGATTTTCCTGCTTCTATTTTTCAATTACATCTTGAGCCTGATGGGGAACTTAATCATCATTGTCCTCACCCTGCTGGATCCCCGCCTCAAGACACCAATGTATTTCTTCCTCCGAAATTTCTCTTTCTTAGAAATCTCCTTCACAACAGTCTGCATTCCACGGTTCTTGATGAGCATTCTCACTGGAAACAAAACCATTTCCTACAATGGTTGTGCAACTCAATTATTCTTTTTCTTCCTGTTAGGAGTTACAGAGTTTTACCTCCTGGCTGCCATGTCTTATGACCGCTACGTTGCCATCTGCAAACCACTGCATTACCCAACCATTATGAACACCAAAGTCTGCTACCAACTCGTGCTCAGCTCCTGGACAACTGGATTACTGGTCATCTTTCCCCCTCTGCTCTTGGGACTCAAGCTGGAATTTTGTGCTTCCAAAGTGATTGATCACTTCCTATGTGATACTTCTCCAATCCTTCAGATCTCATGCACAGATACACATTTCATAGAATTGATGGCTTTTATTTTAGCTGTGATGACGCTTATTATCACATTGTTATTAGTGGTCCTCTCTTACATGTTCATCCTCAAAACCATTCTAACATTCCCATCTGTTCAGCAACGAAGAAAGGCCTTTTCCACTTGTTCCTCTCACATGGTGGTCGTCTCCATTACTTATGGGAGCTGTATCTTTATGTATGTGAAGCCGTCAGCAAAGGAGAGGGTGACGTTAGCTAAAGGAGTAGCTGTGCTCAACACTTCTGTTGCCCCTTTACTCAACCCTTTCATTTACACCCTGAGGAACCAACAGGTGAAAGAAGCTCTCAAGCATGTGCTGCAAAGGTTTAATTTTTCTGAAAACACTGAGAAAACATTTAGAAATACATAATATGCTGTTACATTATGCATGATGAAATTGAATACAATCTTCAATTACATTAGTTTTTGTGTATGCCATTTCTCTGCTTGAGCCTTTATATCATAGTAGATTCATTAAGTCTCTGTGCAACTCTTTGTGTGCATCTTTCTGAGATTTTCCTAACATCTAGAAGAAAATTACTTTTTCAGTATACAACGCCAAATACTCTCTTTACCTAGAAATGCCACCTCTCCTAAAGCATAGCACTGGATGCTTTTATCAAATAAATCGTACTAGATAAATTTAGTTTACTATTTCATTGTATGTGTTAACTGCTTAGCATGGCATCCAGTATTAATTATTTTTGCAATGCTAAAATTATCACAGACAAGCACAGAACATTCTATTCATTTTAAAACATAATTGATATTTTGGTAGAACATAAGTGGAACATGTGGGTAATTTGAAAGATCAAAGTAGCCCTCCCAGAGCAATGATTATTTATGATGAACTTTCAGTAAAAGTACTAGATTTTGGGTACTGTGAGGACAAGAATAATATATACAAAAAGAATGTTCTACAGAAAGTTTTTCCATGTGAATTATAATAATCAATAATAAATTATTCATAAATATAAGCAGCTGTCACTTTGGGTGCAAATAGTTCAAACTTCAGGTTTGATTCTAATTAGGATATTGCTTTCTTTACTCTGAATCTTAGAAGTTATACTAATTACTGAAAAATTCAGTGTATAATTTATAAATGCATTTGAGGAAATTTTGTATACTTAAAATAGCTTGTACTTTAAATTTCCCTAATTCTACTTATATCAATTCACCATATTAATTATGTATGTCTTCCATCCAATAGCAATTTGTTATTTTAACCAATGCATTCGACAGGTATGTACCCTTGTATAACTATACAGCTAGGGAGCATCACACCAAATTTTTGAGTTTGCTTCTACATAGTCATTCCTCTGCTGCCACCCTACCTCTATCTGTCACTGAATCTGAGCATCCACTGAAGTTCTTTTGGTCATTGTAGATCAGTCTTCCCTGTTCAGAAATTTCATATAGAGGAAGCCTCAAAGTTTGAAATTTGTATCCAGTTTCTTTTGCTCAACATATACATTTTCCATAGTTTGTTTCTAATCCTACTATATTTAGTAACATTTCTGATCTTCTTTTGTCATAGCGAGACTGATCTCCCTTATTACAATATTTGAATGTTTTTATTCCCTGAAATCTCTTCATAAGCCTGAATCAATTACTGTCATATGTGTGTAAGTGAGTTCATTAAAATCTCAACCCCTGAAACCATGTAATATTCTACTATGTTCTTTTGAAATCAGCTTTCTTTCAAAGGTGAATTAATTGGGAATGATTGCCCCTTATGTCTTGTGGATTGTAATCCTCAAATCCCATTTCCCAAGAAAAGGCCTTTAGAAATTGCCCCTAGAGGAAAGGAAGAATCATTCCACATGGCCTTGCTACCTTTAGGGGCCAACCTTAGCTGAATCTCAATTCACTCAGTTTACTTGCTTTTGAATGCAGCAGGATGCAAGACTCAGTCTGCTTTTGAAGGCCTGAGGGAGCTAAAATTTGAATGTTGTTGCTGTCAGAATTGAGGAAACTAGGAAACTCTTCATTATTGGTGCCCTGAAGACATTTTTATAGGATATTTTATTAGGAAATGGCAGGTAACTTCAGAAACTTCTAAGAGAATACTGACCATTATTCTTTATAGAAAAGAGGTAGCTCTTAAACATTTAGTTGAACGCTTACTGTTGGGCCTGGGATATAGCTCAGCAGCACAGCATGGTGCTGCCTGGAAGCACAAAATCCTGAATTTGATTCCTGGTTCAAAAAAAAAAAGAAAAAACAAAAAAGAAATAAATAAAGAAAAAAAGTTTACTATGGATGTTACATTTAGTCACCAGCCTGACTACAAAGACATCTGGAGATCTGTAGACTTTCACAACTCTTTGAACTTACAAAATTTGTAAAGTTCCCTTATTCACCAACAGTATTCAGAATTATGCTGAGAAGGAGACATTGGGAAATAACTTTCCAGTGTGTCCTCTGCTCTAATAGAATGTCTAGGAAAAATCATATATAATGCTGACTTAGCAATATAAAATTCAGTGTGGACTCTGCAAATAACCAAATCCAGTGCCTCAGAAGTTGTCAGTCACTTCTATTTTCTTTTATTCAGAGTGATACCAGTATTGGATACAGATGTGAAAGGAAGAGATGCATTTATATCAGTTTGTTCAACTTCCTCTCATTATATAAGACGATTTGAATATCCTGGCCATTACAAATGCTTAAATCTATGAGTGTGTTCATAGTACTTCAGATTCTTTGATAACTTATCTGGAAGTCATGAACAGGGTACATTAGATAATTTCTGGTGAAGAGAAATGATAAAAAGAACGATTACCACACGTAAGAAATATACTATAAAATGACTTAATTTTGGTGAGCTAAATATGTTGAGATTTGAAAATGTTCATCTATATATGTTCCAGGGAGAACAGGATCTCTCCTTTAAATTCTAGGAAAAATTCTTTTCATTCAGCAATTTTGATTTGAGATGAAATCTATTTACACTGTTCATTTACTATCTCAACAAGTGAAGTGTCAATGACCTGTAGTAGTTATGTAAATGTATATAACTGACCCAGACCTGGAGATTAAATGTATATAATTATACTGACTAGAGTGTGAGTTCTTAAAAGTTTCCTAAAGATGATTAAATTAGGATACTAAACTGTGTAATAGAGTATTCAATTATTTAGAGGTCCAGTGATATTTTCCTTTTTAAATGTTTTCTGTTTGCTTTTTAGGTTTAATAACACTGTAGTAGTAAAAAGTCTATTAACCATAAGGAATTTAAGTTTAAATTACTAGAAAGTTAAAAATCCTCTCAAGTCTGTTAGCGCTTTGTTAAACCCATTTGAACTTGACACTCTAGGTAAATGTTCTGTGTTTGCTATTTGGTTTCATAAACATACGGAAGCCTTATTCAAGGTCCTTTGTAAGTCAGTTGTTAATATTTTACCCTTATAAATGAATAATATTGCTCAATAGGAGGACATTTTCATGATCTTAGCAATAACCTTATTTCCTTAAAGGCTGAGTATATAAAAAAGAAGATTTTCAGAAGAAATTGAAAATGGAAGTCAAAGAGTAGGTCACTAGTAACAATATTCTTATCAGTCTGAGAAAATGCTTAGAAGTGTTTAGTGATAATAATAGTAATCATGCTTCCAGCAATAAGTAAAATCCCGAATTTAGACATTAAAAGTGAATTTCATCTGCCAATGAATTCCTTTAGACATCCAAAAAACAAGGCATGGCATATCTGATTCTAAAGACAGCAATCAAAGATATGGAAGTATTTCTTAGAAATATTAAGATTATCATTTTTACCCTATATTTGTAACATGGTAAGCCCATTAATTGTGGGAAATTAGTATATATATGCATTACAGCTAGGTCATTTTTACTGCTACTTTCTCTCCCTTTCTTTCTGTCTCACCTTTTCTGCAGATCTCCTTCACGTCTCCACAAAGTCTATCACTTCCTGTCATCTATCTTACTTTGTTCTTTAAATTATTTGTGTTTGAGTTTTTCATATGGAAGAAACTATATACATTTGATCTTTTGTGTCTGATTTATTTATTTAGCCTCAGTGTCTCAAGCAGCAATCAGTTTCCTACAAATGACTCAAATGTACTTCATTATGATTGAGCAGTATTTTATTGCATACGTGTGCCATATTTTCTTTATGTTTTCACCTGTTGATGGGTATATAGGCTACTTCTAAGATATTATGTAATAAACATGGGTATATCAGTACCATTATAACATGATGTCTTTAACTCTTTTGGGAAGATGCCCAGAATGGTTATGGCTGGGTAAAATGGAATTCCTATGATTTTTTTTTTTGAGGAATCTCCATACTGTATTCCATAGAGGTTGTAGTAGTTTACACCTCCACCAAAAATGTTGAAGTATCCTTTTCCATACAACTTCATCAGCAGCATTAGTTATTTCTCTTTTAGTTCTCATATTAGCCATTCTTTTTGGAATATGATAGTATCTCAGTATGTTGTTGATTTGCATTTCTTGGGTGGGCGAAAATGTTGAACATTTTTTAACATATCCATTGGTTATTTGTACTTCTGTTCTTGAGAAGTGTTTACACATTTCAATTTCCCATCTTGTATATCAGGAGTGTCCTTTTTAAAGTTCCTTATATATTCTTGATATTAGTCCTCTTTCTAAGGCATAACTGGAAATTTTCTCATTCTGTAGCTTGTCTCTTCATTCTGTTAGTCGTTTCCTTTGCTGTGGAGAAACTGTTGATTTTTTGTGTTGATTTGGTATCTTCCTACTTTGCTCAAATTGCTTATTGGTTCTAAGAGACTTTCAGTGAAGTTTATTGGGTCTTTTATGTGAGGATCATGTCATCTGTGAATAAGGTTAATTTGACTTCTTTGCTTCTATATATTCCTTTTCCCTCCAGTGGCATGATTGCCCTGGTTAAATTTCTGAGTACTATATTCAACAGGAGCAATAGAGTAGACACCCTATTCTTATTCCTGATTTCCATGGACATTCTTCTATTTTTCCTTATTTAGTGGGATACTATTAGTGCATTTATCATAGAGTCTTCAATAAGTATAGATAATTCCCTTATATGCCTATTTTCATTAGGGTTTTTACAAAGAAGGATGTTGGATTTTTAGCAAAGGTTTTGTCTGTATCTGTTTGGGTGAAATTATGAGTTTTTTCCATGCTTTTGTTTCTCTGATGTGCTTCCCTTTCTTTGGTATATTACATTTATTCATTTAAGTATATTGGATCATTCTTGAACACTTAGAATAAAGCCACCTTGGTCATGATGCATGACCTTTTTAAAGATTTATTGCTGTTATGCTTTAGATCCAAAATGTTCCACAATAGTACAGTGTGTTTGGCAGCTGATTGGATTGTGGGTTAGTGTTTACACTTTATTAA